TCTTCGCTCAGAACCGTCAAATATACCTCCTGATCAGACAGTTAAGCGACAATTTTCAAGATCTTAGGAATGAAATGTGGCAAAGAAACGTTCAAGGCACTCAAGGCATTCAAGGTGAGGATCTTTCGGCCAAAGTGTGGAATGTAAGTATTGTAGAAAGCAAGAATAATTTAGGGTATATTTTGAGCACTTTTTTTTTTGGCATATTTTGAGTGCTTTTTTTTTTATATTTTCGCAAGAAGTATATATTAGCGTTGTCAAATGCCTTTTCTCACGTGTAATATATCCCACCCAAGATGAAATAAAAGAGTCCCTCAAGGACTACTTGAATGAAAAGTTTACTGAATTCGTGGCAAACTTAAGTGCTAATGATTTTGCAAACCAGTTCCATGGTGTATGGTGTTCTCAGGTAAGCAATAATATTTGACACCTGTGTATATCCGTTTTATATCATTATCAATCGTTTTCAATAGGTCTAAGCATTTTTTATGATGCTCAATCTCCAGTAGCTCTTACAAAAAATAAAGAACCTGCGTGGTTCAGCATTGCAGAACGTACGTTCGGCAATTTGGAGTATATTTGGCCACGAAAGACTTCCTCGCCTTAGAAGCAATGCTAGTGCTAAGAATATAGTAAGGTGGAAGCAAAGCCAAGAAGTGTACGATTGCTATTGTGTGCTCTATGCGCAAGATAATAAAGGCGTTTTCTGTGTTGCAGTTATTGCAAGAACTGTATTCACCATGGCTGCTGCCCCTACTCTTACAAACCATCATTGTGCCTTCACACTAGCCATATGTAACATTATATTAAATTCCTAATCGAAAAATCTCGTCTGTAGCGAAAGTCGAATTAAGCGTCACATGGTGCGCTATTTGGTAAGTATTTGTAATATATCGATTGTAACTACAAAATGAATATTAACCTTTATTATACTAGAATGACTTTGATAACGGCGGTCCTAATCAAGAATCGGCCAATACAATCATTAATAATGAGCTTGCTTTAGGCTCTCACGAAGCTAAACAATCAACACAAACGCAATCAATGCAGGCCAATTCCAACACTGAACCTGACCTCCATACAACTTCCCTGTCCTGAAGTAATTCTTTAATTCTTTCGCAGGATGCACAGGACGAATTGTTTGAAATCTATTAGTGGCGTTGTTTTTTTTTGTAATTTTTTATGTATTGCATGCAAAATGTATCTTATAT